CCCCCCACAGGTTCACTTCAAAGTGCGCTTCGACGCCAAAGACTTTGCCCCTGAGGATATCGACGTGACCACTGTGGGCAACCGGCTGACCGTTCACGCCAAGAAGACCGTCACCACCGCGGGCTCCAGCACCAGTCGCGAATTCAGTCGCACTGTTGATCTGCCACGCTCCATTGATCACGAGAAGTTCCAATGCAATCTCACGCAGGTAATTAAAATGAGTCAGTTGCGTAAATCTGCGTTCTCTTCAAAGTCCGCACCCCCCCCAACCCTATTTCGTGTATTCACACAGCAGCCTTTTCACCGTTTTTATGACATCTTTAAGCGTGCTGGGACCTATTAGATTTCTTTAAGAAATGTGGGAAAACTAGTTTTCTACTCAAAAATAATTTTTTTTCAAAAAGTTGCCTTAAACAAGCAACTGGAAGTTAAGTCGAGTTTTCGAAAATAATTTACATTTTCTGATGTACGAAGCGACTACTCTAGGTCCTTGACACATATTCCAACTGTAGAGGTTAATGAACCTGTTTTCCTAAGACTAAAATACTGAAAAGTCTGCCTGATTTTTTTCTGTTTTTGAAGTAAAACATATTTTAGTACTTTCCAAAGTGCATTGGGCAAGAGGAGGTCCAAGCAGCCGTTATAGTTTTATTGCAGAATTAAAAGAATCAGGTATAATTATTTTGTATATGAAACTCGCATAAAGGCTTCGTAGATAACAGTCCTAAATGAAGCACCCAATCTATTTGCTTTTCAGGGTACCATTTCAACATTGTTTGTTATGTCTTGCTTACTTTCTGGGGAATTTAACGCGCAAACGTAGAAGACATCCATCTTAACAAACGCTTACAGGCTCTATATGTCAATATTACATGGTTCCTCCACGGCAGCTGATGCAATTTAACCCAACTTTTCATAACAACTTTACACGCATACAACTACGTTAATATTTACCATGCTAATTTTTAGATACTACTTCTATTACGAGTTTAAGTATATTTTTTAGAAGTCTGCCATCTAATTCTGTATTTAGAGTGATTCTAAAGACAGGAAGCTTCTACCTCCTATAGAACTAAACAGTACGCATACATACAATTAAGTCAACTTCTGGATTTGAATTTATCTCTGAGAGGGGCGTGTATGATTTGTTTTTTATTTAAATGAAGCCAATTGGACGTGGTTATTGTATTCAGTGCTATGAAAATTGAATTCGAGTAGCCTGGAATAACTATGTATCACAAACCAAGAGCATGTCAGCTTATTATAAGTGTTTTTCTTTTTAATGCCTCATAGAGCTACACACCGTTGTAAATGACAATAAGAAAACCTAAAAATGGGCAACTTTGCCTACCTATTTACTGAATTTATTACTTGACAGGATGGCGTTCTCATCCTCGACGCTCCGGTCAAAGCACCCGACTACTCTTCTATCACGTTCGACTCTGGCCACAATCTGAGTATCCGACCTAAAGACTCTAGTGTGCTCAAAAACACGGACACGAGCATTTCCATCAGAGGTAAGTATTTGTTGTTGCAGGCCTCGGCTAAGCATTTCCACATACTAAACGTACACACCACCTTGCGCTGACCTTGAATTTTTTCTCGCGTACTTTATCTTCAAGGTCAGTCGGGGCCTCTGGTGCTGAATGATGGCGCTGGAGGACGCAAGCTGCATCTCGAGGTGCCAATCGAGGAGGGCTATGCTGCTGAAGACCTCAACGTGCGCATGGAAGCCAATAAGATCATAGTTTCTGGCAAGCGTGAGATGAGCGCCGATAAGAGCGTGGATTCAAGCACCTCCAAGTCTGCCTTTAAGAGCTCCCAGTTCCAGGAATTCACACGCACCTTCGAGGTGCCAGAGACTATCGACCCGTTCACGGTGTCTGCAGTTCTCAATGGCAAAACTCTTGTCGTCGAGGCTCCTCTTCACTGCACTGTTTGAAGCTGACTATCAGGACAGTCGCCCTGTCTGCCACCCATTTCTCTCTTACACCCCCATCCACGCTCCTTCAAATCGCCCTTTCTCCTTCTTCTTCTTTTCCATGTTCATTTAAAGAAAAACATGATCCCTCCCCCAGCGCAATTTCGATTACATGCGTACAAAAGGACTGACTTGCATGGACGTTACGGATATCCAGTTTCACTCAGCGTGCATCTCGAAAACCAGCTTGCTTACTACATGCCTTCCATTTTTAATCCT